TGCTCCTTCCCCATTAGCCTCCGGGAAGCCCCGTTTAGTCTCTTCTGGGCATTTAGCATTCAGAGAAAGCAGGAAAAGCGACGGGCTTCTCAAAAATTAAAATATCAACACATATCAACTGTACAAATCCATGAGATTCATGTTGTACTTCCATAGTTTCCACTCTGTAGAATCTCCCTAGCTGGCCAGATATGATGGCACAGGCCTGTAATCCTAGCACCTGAGAGGATAAGGCAGGAGGATCGCCATGACTCTGTGGCCAGCAAAGATACCTAGTGAGTTCAAACCAGCCTGAACTACATAGCAAGACCCTGTCTCAAAAAGCCAACAAAAAAATCTCCATAAGCAAAGGAATATTAAAGGCTTTGGTAGTGATTGAGACTGGAGAATTAAAATATAAACAGAGAAAAGGCAACCGAATAGTTCAGGAGAAGTAGCTTGCTGTGAGATGCCTGATTACCACAATATAGAAGTCATATTTAAATATACATTCTTTGAAGGATAAAAGGAAATAAAAGCAATAAGAAGAAAGAAAGTTATTTATTTCGTTCTTTCAGGAAGCTCTTTGGACAATATTGGATTTAGTGACTTATTTTATTTATTTGAGCAAATCAAAGCACATGTTTTAACTATGTAATTTAAGAATGATGAAGAAAATACTTTCATCAAATATACCAAGTTCTTTTTTTTTTTTTTGGTCATCAATTTTGCCATAGACTTAATGTCATCAGCAACTCTTAGAGCAGTTAGGGATATGAGTTTTGCTAACTGCCATGGGGTATCTATGTTATGATAAAATGTAATAAAAATCTATACTTTAAGTCATTTCAGTGCAATCTGCAAAAGTTTGAAGCACAGTAATGAAACAAATTGTTTACATAGCTGTTTTAATCACCATTAAAAATCATAGGACATAAATGGACCCAGGGACCATTCAAGAGATGCAGATTAAAACAATGCTGAGATTCAACCTCAGCCCAGAAAGAATGGCTGCTGTGAAGAAATCAACCAATAACAAATGCTGGCAGGGCTGTGGGGAGAAAAGAATCCTTCTCCATTGTTGGTGGGAGTGCAGACTGGTGCACCCACTATAGAAATCAATATGGAGATACCTCAAAGAACTAGGATTAGAGGTCCCATTTGACCCAGCCATCCCTCTGCTGGGTATCTTTCCAAAAGAATTGAAAGAATCATACCACAGTGATATATGCTCACCCATGTTTATAGTGGCACAGTTTGTAATAGCTAAAACTTGGAAACAGCCCAATTGCCCATCAACTGGAGGCTAGATAAAGAAGATATGGTTTGTCTATAAAATGGAGTACTCAGCCATAAAGAACAAGAAACTAGAGTCATTTATAGCTAAATGAATGCATATTGAGGCCATACTCTTAAGTGAAATAAATAGGACACACATGTAAATGCCAAATAGTTTCTTGGTGTGAAAAACTAAAAGTGTAAATAAGGTTCAAATTGTATAATTGACAATGTGAGGGCTAAAGGAGTAGGGGAAGTGGGAAGGGTAGGGGAAAGGAAAGAAGGGAAAAGAAAAAATATGAGAAAAGGAAAAATGGAAACAAAATTTTTGTAAATAGGGAAGGGTGGAGGGGGTGAAGCGAGGGCAGGCGATTGGGGAAAAAAATAAGAACAAAGATATATCATGTAAAGCTACAAGATCCTAATGATGAATGTAACTCTGCTGTATACCTAAAATGTACCAATAAATGTAATAAAAATAAAGTAAAATAAAATAGTCCCAGGGAATAGACAGCATACGGCAATACCAGTACATACCTCCACACTCTGAGTACTGGCTGGGAACTCACAAGTGTATGAGGTGGAACTTATTTTACTATATATTGTCCCTAATAAGAGAAATACCACTAAAAAGTGATTTGAGCACGGTTGCTTCAGCAGCACATATACTAAAAACAGTTATTTGAGCAGCAACTGTATAGGTAGTCTAGAAAGCTACCATCGAAGGCAAAGGGCAGTAGGCTCTGTCATCTTAATTCACCACTACTGCATCAGAGACAGAACAGGAAAAGGCAATAGCTCAGTTAGCCTTACCAAGTAGGTTGGGCAAATCGTTGAGAAGCTAGGCCACTATATTGTCTTCAAGTGGTAGCATGCTGCAATTGGTCTCTTATAGCTATTTCAAAGTGTGTGTAGAAGTTTGGTCTACCACATGGGCAATTGGCAACTACCAGTTTGTCCTCATAGAAGTGGGAAATTTTGTTTAGTACAACTGCTGTACCCCTATATGGCAAGAAGGATGTATACACTGGAATACAGGGCTCCAACTCAACATGTGGAAATGCTAAAGGTGTGAATCATTGGTGTTTAAATCACTATGATAATTACCATTGATTAGAAAATGTAATTCAATATGAACATTTCACAAAAATAGTGGCTATTTACTGAATGTTTTATAATGAGCTGAGCATTGTGGTATTTCACACAATTTCTTCTCTCATATAAGCATCAAAACAACTTTATGAACCATTTTACAGAATAGGAAACTGAGACTTAGGGAGGTTAGATAAATTAGCACCCTTCAAAGTACTGACTTTAACCTACATCTTTCTGATTGTAATGTTGACCTCCTTTTTATTGAACCATGTCTGTCACCTTATATAGAGACATTCTCTTACGGTGCCTTTTGATGGAATACATCTACATTTCAGTCTTTGAGTACTCGAACTTGGAGGGTGTTTTAAAAGATAACAAAAAAGCTGTACATAAAAAAAATTTCAGGTGATATCTCATTACAAATACTCTAAAGATGAGTTTAAATCATTGAGTATATTTTCCTTTAAAATATATAACAGAAGCTAGAGCCATTTATAGCTAAGTGGTTGCACTCTGAGGACATACTCATAAGTGAAATTAATAGGACACACATGTGTAAATACCAAATAGTTTCTCTGTTGTGAAAAACTAAAAGTGTAAATAAGGATCAAAATGTAAAATTGATATTGTGAAATAGGAAGAAAAGTCCAAAGGTGTAGGGGAAGTGGGAGGGGTAGGGAAAAGGTAAGAAGGGAAAAGGAAAAATAAGAGAAAAGGAAAAAAATGGAAACAAGGTCTTTGTAAATAGGGGAGGGTGGAAGGGGTGAAGCGAGGCCAGGGGAATGGGGAAAAAATAAGAACCAAGATACATCAATGTAAAGGTACAAAATGCCAATGATGAGTGGAATTGTATTACATACCTAAAATGTACCCATAAAGAAAATAATAAAATATCTAACATATCTGTAATGATTTTGGGCATGAGAGAGAGAAATGATAGGTGCTTTGAGCTTTAAGTGCTGAGATCTTACCTACTGACCAAACTAATTGGTTCAATAATACTCTCTAAAAAATCTGTGCCATGGGAGAAAATATGTTGTTGCAAGATATGCCCCTATCCTGATGCACTTTCCATGAAGAGATACTGTCCATGATCAACTGGTGACCTGGGAGATGCTCATGCCGTCTTGTGAAACCCAATTAAAAATTTTTCAGAAATTTTGCCTGCACGTAGTTTAATGCAGCCATTATTAAAAACGAAATTCTGCAGTCTAAAACTAAATTACTTTGCAAACTAAGGAGATAAATACTAGATGTCAATGCCCCCTTTTATTACACTGCAGCACTTTCTACACTCCTGTGGTAATGCCTGTGTCATTGGTATGGTGCAAATGCTTGGCAATTGAGCGTCTCTTCCTAACTCAGCGTTAGGGATGTCACTTCCAGAACCTGAAATTGGCATGTTAGCAGTATTCACAACACACAAGTTCACAATCCCAACAAGTCAAGGTTGGGTTTACTGTTTTCTGCTTATGTAGGTAAAGTTTGGTAAACTATAGCCAGTGGGCCAGATTCAGTCTCTGGTCTGTTTTGGTAAAGTTTATTTAAAACAACCATACCCACTTATTGATAGATTGTGTATGGCTGCTTTTGTGCTGCAACTGCATAGTTGAATAGCAGTGTGAAAGATCATACATTTATTTAAAAATAAAATATTGAATTTTTAGCTCTTTAAGAAATCTTTTTCCCAGTCCCTAATCTAGCCTTTAAGAAAATGTAATAATAGAGCTTTAACATAGAAAGGGGTGTCATTTGTAAAGCTCCTACACTGTGAGTAGCATAAAAATTTGAGAAAATATCCAGTCCTCAAAAATAATTATTCAACTCAGCAAAAAATCTGATAAATAAAAATATATAAATATAAATTGATAAATGAGTGAAGTGCCAATATATGGAGCCAAAGTTGAAAGAAGTTTCAGTTTAATTAATATAATTTGTTTGAGGATGAGAAATAGTTTAACAAACAGCAGCTCATATATCAGACTTAAGGACAAATACATTAGAAAGAATTTGCAGCTGGCAGGCAACTCAATTTGTTAAATCAAGGTTGAATTGCAACAGTAGGTTGGCTTTGGATGCAAAAGTTTAACAAAGTCAATGAAAAGTATCAATTGTCTCTATAAAACACAGTAAAAGTAAGGTACACTTTACTATTATTTTTATACACTGTATGCTATATATTAATATAACTAACTTTAATAATTTGCTCATACATCTATCTGCGTATGATTCCCACAGGGAACTAGTTGTTATGCATTAACCTGCACACCACTACTTAGGTTTCCACAAGTGTGTAACTGCCATTCATCCCACTGCTATCAGAAGACTCGATTTATTGTCTCTGATATCCCCCCGCTTAGATCAAACCAAGCAAATGAATATTAGACAGGAACACACTGGACAGTAGTAAAACAGGACAACTTAGTAGACCAGCCCTGGTCACCCAAAAAAGCTGTAAGCATCATATCCTTCACAATTATATCCAACCCAAAAAGCACCTGGTATTGTTAACCTACCTTGAGGTCAGGGGTAGGGAAAATCAGGAACCAGGTGGTTGGTGTTTGTTTTGATTAGAAAATAAAATGTGAGGTTTCAAACAACCCCAGAAGTTGAAGCTCAGTGATTCATAGATCTTATTTCTTGCTTACCTATTGATCCAATGTGGCTTAGTGGCTTGGGAACGCAGGTTCTGCTCGACACTGAAGCAGGGATCCAGGCTCCTTCCGCTGAGTGGCTCTGCCCTCCCCAGCATTCTCAGATTCCTCAGATACAGACTGCCCTGTATACTGGGTCTCTTAAGTGCCTTAGGAAATATAAAACATGGGAATTTGTAAACACAAAGTAATTCCTCTTTTTTTCTTGCCTACCAAGATCCAGCAAATAAGACATTTTCCCTTTTAAAATACATGTTAGCTGGGTGTGGTGGCACATGCCTGTAATCCCAGCACTTGGGAGGATGAGGCAGGAGGATCGCTGTGAGTTCATAACCATCCTGGGCTACATAGTGAGTTCAAGGTCAGTCTCAACTGCATAGTAAGACCTTGTCTCAAAATAAAATAAAATAAAATAAAACACATGTTAATAAGGACACTTGACTTGGTTGGACTGTATGGTAAACGGAATGATTTAGACAAACTAACCAATAGTCACCTATTGAAGATAGGTAGGTTTTAGACGATCTCCAGATTTCCCAGTATAAACATATTGTTGGGAGATTGCAGGAGGAATGAGAGATGAGATTAAAAGAACTTTTTTTGCTTTGATTGAATTGCTTTTCTACTTTACTTTTACAAAGTAGTTACTCAGAGTATTGTATTTGACTAAGTAATGCCTATATTTTCAGGTCAATGCCTCTATGTTATTGCAACCTCTTCATTTTGGGGGAAAACTTTATACTTTATGTAAGGGGTAAAGAGGTTAGAAGCTCGCAGAATGCTGAGAAGTCTGAGAACGGACATCCTGCAGCACACTATTGCATTGTTACAACTGCAAATTTCAGAGACAAGTGTTCCACAAGACAAACGAAGAGTGAGGTGCTTGCATGTGTGTTGTGTGTCTCCGTGGGGGTCTGAGCAACTTGCCAAACTCTATTTCCGGAGCGTGATTCTGAGGGCAGCACAGTAGGGCTGTGCTCCTGGAACGAGACCTTCCTCTTCCCAACCTGGATGCCAATGGTGACATATATGTGAGGGAGGTGCTCCCACATGCTTCTTCCCATCTGCTTCCTGGGCTTTTTGAACAGAATGGAAATGCTGAGAGTTAAGTCAAAGCCAGAGCCACTGCTGTCAGTTGGCCCAAAGATTCCTGCTCTCGTCGAGTTTGGCACAACTCAGGTCAATGCACACTTGGACGAGAACAGTGGTCCTGGCCCATCCACCACAGGATCTGCACATGCACGGAAAGGCTAATGCTCATAGATTTCCTTTCTCAATGCAGCAAGGAAGACAAGAGTAGATAAAGAAATTCAAGTGTCCTGAAAGTGAAGTGTAGAGAAGACCGAGAACCGATGGGGACCTCTTTAGTCCCTTGTGTGAGGAAGGGCTCCCACCTGTGGCGTCCTTGCTTGAGTTCCTCTTCTGGGTCTCTCCTGGTGTAATTCTGCCATCTGTCATACGGAGTATTCTGGGAGAGGACTTCCTATTCTTGTAACCTGCAGAGGAATGACAGATGAATGTGGGGGGAGGGACAGCACATGTCCCCCTCTCTGAGTGGGCTTGTGTGACTTCAAGTCAAGCAGAGCTATAATTGCAAATGAGCTTTTGAAAAGAATATATTCCCAAATGTCAAGGGGTGCATCTTCCTTAACTGTCTTCCTGTTACCCACCTCTCATTTTCTTTAAATTCATTTTTGGTAAAGAAGAGAGTCCTATTCATAGGTATCTATAGTTACATATTCATATGTACATATATGCACAGACATATATGAACTAGATGTGAGGGAGAAGCTGACTGTAAAAGACTAGCACAAAAGGAACCTTCAAAGGTGAAGATTTTCTGCATCCCGATCGTTGTGATAGTTGTAGGACACCATGCATCTGTCAAAGCTTATGAAACTATATCAAAGAGGCGATCTCTGCTGTTTATCAAGTAAAAAGTAAATTCATAAGAAATTCCAGATAAGTCCAACAGCCATCATAATAGCACTGTTATGAAAAATGTAATGATATGAATTAAAGGGACAAGAAAACATTCATTTAAGTTGACTGAATGTTCCTTTTCAGTAATGCAGCCACTAGACCCATGTGGGTTCTGAGCTCTTGAAATTAATACAAGTGGAGATGCACTCTAAATGTAAAATCTAAGTATAAAATACATACTAGTTTCCAAAACTTCATACAAAAATATCTCATCAATATTTACATAGTGATTAAAAATTCAAATGGTGTGATTTTGGTGATTTTTCTTTCTTTGTTATTGTTTTTTTAAATTTTTATTTATTTGTTTGTTTATGTAAGTGGTATGGGGAATCTAATCCAGGGCCTTAGTACCAGCTATGTACATAACCTTTTCTATTTGTTATTTTGAGACAAGGTCTCACAACATCTCTAAATTACCCAGGCTGGGATTGAGGCTGGGATCTTCCAGCTTCATCAAATGGTGATGTTTTTGTTATTTGGGATTAAGTAATGTATAATATGAATACTAATGTCATGGATGTTTTAATATCTTTAATGTGATTGCTAGAAAACATAAAGTTTTGTAGTTCACATATTTATATTAGATGTTGCTGCGTTAATATTGTACAAATAATAGTAAGAGAATTTAGAATCAGTAAGTAATTTTTTTCTGTTAGTTCCTACCCTTAATTCAACCTTGGCCATCAGCTAGTTCTTCTCAATCTTTCTTTTTTTGGGAAATGAGACTCAAAGTATGATCTATTATCGAATGACTCCTAAATGGACATCTCCAATCCTATATCTACCTAAACAGTGACTCTCTTAACCAAGGCTGACGTTGCACCTGATGGCGACATGCACCCCCATACATTTTAATTGTCACTACCTGGAGAGTGAAAATCCTACTTATACTAGTAGGTAAAGGCCAGAATATACCATGCATTATGTTAGGGAGCTCCTACAACAAAGAATTTTTCCATCCAAACTGTCAGTCCTGCTGAGCTTGAGATGCCCTGATGAATGTTTGCAAGTCTTCTTGGTGAATGAGCAAATGTATATTTCTAACCTATCATGTGTAACACACTATGCTAAGTACTTCAAGGAAATCAAAGATAAACTAGACACGGATCTTATATTTATCTTATTTAGAGAGATAAAATATTTGTGTGAAACACAGTGCAGCCTCAATAATGTTCAGGTCAGATAATGTGATAAACAAGAATACACGACAGGTAATAGAATGTTGACTTCTCGCCTTTGTCCTTTGGTTCCAAATTCTGACATAATATTTTTAGTGGGATATCTCTAAATCCCACATAGCTAAAGTATAACTCATTAGGATTCCCTTACACTTATAGCAAATGATTTTGTATGTACAAGAGTACACAGACATTACAATCAATCAGTACTTTTAATTTCTTTGGCAAGAAAACTGAATAAAACCTCTCTAGATTCTCTAATCCTTTATCAAGATTTTTTTTCTCCAACCTAGTTAATGTATATAACTTCTCTCACTTTTCTTCTTTCCTAAAAGTGGGAAACTACTTTTAAGATGTTAGGTGTATTATACAATATGGTCTCAGCACACAATCTGTTGCAGGAGGTATGTGAGATGCCGAAACCAGCTAATAAATAACTGGCAAATAAAGGATAGAGATAAATATTACTAAAACCCAGATCAAGGTAAGATCAATATAAAACTAAGGAACCCTAGAGCAACTTGCATATTATTCTATCCTAGATCTTTCATACTTATATTACTAAAATAGACTCCTCCACTTCCTGCCCTAAAACCCCCTCATGTCATTTTTAGTTTCCCTGAAATATGTATTTTATTGTGACGCTTCTTCTGCTCCAAAAAAACTTTCAGTCACTTCTTCCTTAAGATATCAAATGTCTAAACTTTGCTCCTCACCTTAAAAGGCATTCTAGATTTGACTCAGCCCTACCTTTATTTCTCGCTATGCCCTTACGTGCAAATGATGCAGGGGCCAGCAGTGCCAATTAACAAGCGCCTGCCTCCATGTTTTTGCAGGGCTCTTCCTCCTTCTTTCCTTTGTTAATTTAAAACATCTTTTCAGGTCTACTTTGAGTTCCTTCTTGAAGCTTTCCCTACTTCTCCAGGGCACTCTTTCCTTTCTTTGAATTCATGTGCACTACTAGAAGACACTATTCCACTGAAGATTCCCGTTCCCTTGAATTTGCATTCATCATCAACACCATCCAACACTAAATTTGCTCATTCTGTGGGAAGGAAGAAGCCATATCAAAATTTCCTTACCATGCCTGAATTCTTTTAACAGAGTCCTTAGAACAACTCAATACCTATTTTCTAGACAAGGTTGTATACTTGGAGAGATATTACTATAATTCATTTTGGAAAAAAAGCATATGTAACTGATTCCTTTAAATAAGCAAATCAAAATTCTCCTCCATGTAAGTGGTGCATTTCAAAGCAATTAACTGGAGAACTAAACACATATTCCAATTTTCAAACTCTTATAGTACTCCTTTTGAAGAATTTTTTTGAGAGCCTATGACACATTTTTTATATTCAAAAATTGCAAATCTTAATCCTGCAAAGATGGACTTAGCTCTTAAGCCAGCATGGAGAACCACATCTAGGAATTGAGGTGGGGAAAGCTGAGAATATTATGAATGATTTAAAAAAAAAAAGGTCTGAGTGGATTCAAAAAGATCACTTTTCCTCTTTTAAATGATCCTGAAGGTAGTTTTAAATCAATCCTGGAGCTCAGATTTCATTTGGATGTCAAAACCTGCAAAAGAATGTCACTCAAAGCTAATAATGAAAAGCATTTAAAAATCTATCAAATCAGAACTGTTTTGGAGCCCCCAGAAAGCTAATATGGCACAACAACCAATTAAATTGAGTCGTCAGTGAGTGACAAGTCCCTCCAACATAATATTATACACAGCGAAAATTTTCAGCTTTGGTCAAGATTGGGAGGGACAAGTAGAGACAGGTGGGTATAATAGAAAGGTAAAACTTTAATAAATTCTTAAAAATCAACTATAGGTAACAGGAGGCCCAAATACAAGGGTTAAGTTACATACACTTGTATTCTTTTTTCCATGTGTCTCCATAAGATGTTCACAGAAAGACTGGAGGCAGGGCAGAGATCCAAAGGAATCCTCCTGGGTGGCACAGGTGCTCAGGAAATGACCGTAATTTTATATCGAGGAACAAAGATAAGCTCAACAGCATACTTCTCGTCAGATAAAAATGCAATTGGGAAGACCTGAGATTCAAAAAGATAGGAAAAATGTCAAAAGGGTTATAAATACAAGTAAGTATAAAAGACATTCTTTTCTTTTTTCACATTAAAATATAACTGGTGGTATAAAGCAAAAATAGTAACAATATGTTGTAGAGATTATAATATGTAAAAGTAAAATGTGATAGCAGTCCAAAAACTAAAAGGAAAGATAGAAAGGAGGAATTAAGCCTAGAAATTAATAATTAAAACATGTATGGATAATCTTCAGATATCTGCAAGTAAGGCAATAACTTTTAAATTACCAATGGGCCAAAGACAAAGTCACAATGAAAATTGGAAAATATTTTTGAATTAAGTAAATTAAAACACAGCATTTCATAATGTGTAAGACATAGCCAAAGCAATGTTCAGAGGCAAATACATAGCCTTAAAAGATTATGTTAGAAAACAAGAAGGCTCTCAAAAGAATAAATACTCTGCACCAAAGTAGGTAAACTTTTTCTATAGAGAGGTAATCAATAACATTTATATATTATTTCTTATACTCAATATTTTCTGTAGTATAAAAGTAGCCATAGATAATATATAAGCAAATGAGCCTGTCTTTCTTGCAACAAAACACTGTTGATGGACACAACTTTGAATTTTATGCATTTTCATTTAAGATACTCTCCTTTTAAATTTTCTCAGTTACATAAAAATGTAAATACCATATTATTAAAAAAAATCAATAGATTCAACACAATTCTAGTCCAAATTTTAGCAGGATATTTTTTGTAGAAATTGCTAATTTCATTCTAAAATGTCCAGTGGTACCTCAGTTCATGAACTTAATTTGTTCTATGATTTTGGAAACTATGACCATGTTTATGTTTGTGTTTGTGTGAAAGATGGCTGTGGTCATGTTTGTCACCTGAGGTAGAGTTTGCAAACAAAACCAAATTTTGCCAAACACTTCTGTTTAACCAAATGTTTAAAAAACATTCATAAACAGAGTTACCACTGTATCTAGGAAAGCAAAAGACTTAGAATATCTCAAAGAACAAAATTAAAGAAGTCACTATGTCATTCCAAAATTTACCATAGTGCTACACAGATTAAGATAGTCTGGTATTGACATGAGAATAGACATATGGATCAATTAGAAGCACACAGAATCCAGAAAGAGACCCAAACATGTATATCAATTGACTTTTGACCAGTGTGCCTTAGTAAAGCATTTAACAAAAGACAATTTTCAACAAATAACACTATAATTAGATATCCAGATTCAAATAACAAATCATTGTGCATATATTATTGAAAAGAATGAATTAGGAATATTTCATAGAGGCCCCCAGCACTGCTAGTCCAGTAGAGGCCAGCTGTTCCAGGACCTCAGCAGGTTATGCAGGGATCTGGATCCCTGCAGCAGAGGTGCCAGGGGACATAAAGGCCATAAGTCCCACAAGTAGAACAGCAGTGAAGAACAGAGAAAGGGCCTCTCTGAGGCTCCTTGGTAATAAGTGAAGCCCAATGGGAAAGTGAAGAAAGTCTCTGTAGTTAGTAAAGGTGCACAGGACTACAGTGCTCTGGTAAGTTGGTGAGAACAGCACCACCCACTAGAACTTGGATTTGTTTCAGGGCAAGGGCAGCTCAGACCTGCAGTAGAACCTTGCAGAGTTCAATCCTATAGGAAGTCAGGGAGCTCAACCTGGGCCTTGCAGCCAGAAATCAGTCTAAGTCTCAGTGGACTACAGCTGGCTTGCTGAGACTAATTGTCTTAGATCTGCACACTACTGTCTATGTTGTCTACCATGACAGAGAGACATACCCTGAAGGAGGCCATTTCCCTTTCTCTCCCTCTCCCCCTCCCCCCTGTCTTTTTATCTCTCTCTTTCTCCCACCTTCTCCTCCTCCTCCTCCTTCTTCTCCTTTTTCTACTCCTCTCTCCTTTCTTGTTCCTGTCTTATTTTGGATTTTTTTCTCTTTCCTTCTCAATTGCCCTTATTCTTATAGGAAAATGAACACAATTCTAGCTTCCCTGTTGCTGTTAGTTTGCTCTGTTCTTGTTTTTGTTCCTTTGCTCTGTCTTTTCTTCTTATCTTCACCAGTTTCCCAAAGTTTGCATGACCTTTCTGTATCCTCTAGCCTCATTTCTACCCTTTCCTTCTTCTATCTCTATCCCTCCCTCCCTCCCCAACTCCTTCTAAGTCCTCATCCTGATGGGTAAATTTGGTATATTGAAGGACTTATTTACTACAAACTTATTTTGGGATGGTCTTCAATTTTTATCTAGTTCACATGATTAAAGGTGACAGGTTAATAGCTACACAATTTATCTATTTCTAAACTGTGTTTAATGCTATTGTTGATGCTGATTGTATTACTTGGGGCAAGGTGTCATGACTGTTCCAATAGTTGTCCTTCCTAGTACACTGAATATGAGATTGTCTAAGCATCATTAGAGACTCAAAACCTAAAGACCAGCTATACCAGAAAGACACCTCTGAGAAGTAATCATTCCCTGAGGGTTCTAAATACTAGCAATAAAGATACTTCCAATAATATAGAAGTATCAACCCAGGAATTAAACCAAAAACATCAACAACAAAGAATAAAAATGAGAAGACACCTAAACAAGGTGCAAATTCATACTTACAACTCACCAAAGGCGAAATCTGGGTCAGCAAGGTAGAAAAATCTGATGAGCAATGGCCTGGACACCCCACTGATAAAATAGGAAGTAACAAAACAGATGAATGAGGCTCTAGAAAACTTCAAAATAGAAATAATTTCCCAGTGCTAGGGATTTAGTTCAGTGGTTCCACCACCTGCCTCACACAGGCAAAGTCCTGAGTTTGATCCCTGGTACCAAAAAAAAAAAAAAAAATCCCAGATAACTACAGAGATGGTGAGCAGAATGAAAGAGATGATTAGAGACTCTAGAACAGAAACAGATGAAAAAATAAATACATGAGTTCAGGACCATGATGGACTCCATTAATGCCTAGGATAAGAAAGAAATGGAAATCATGAATGCCCAGATGGGAAAGAAATAGAATACATGAAACAGATTCAAACAGATATCTGGGAGATTAAGTATACACAGCAGAATGAGCTAATGTGAAGACAGGATATCAGATGTTGGAGACAGGATTGTAGTTAGTGACCATGAAGAGAGAGATTACTTAAAAATAGTAAAGGACCATGAGAAATCACTCCAGCAGCTGCTAGATGATGTAAAGAATAACATAAGACTGAGAGGAGTCAACGAAAAAGAAGAAAGTACAGATGACATTTAAAAAAACTGTCCACAGAAGTAATGGCAGAAAAATTCCCAAACAGAGGAAAAGAATTTGACACACAGATAAGTGAAGCATATAGGAGTCCAACTAGCCATGATTAAAAAAAACCCTACACCTAGGCATATAATAGTCAAGATCCCAGAAACTCAATAGAAGAACAAAATACTATAGTTACAGTTACAGTGAGGCAGTTACAGTAAAGTAGTTACAGTAAAGAAACAAATCACATACAAAGGAAAGCACATCAGAATCACAGAAGACTTTTCAACACAAACGTATAAGTCAGAGAGAGCCTGGCGTGAAGAACTTCAAGCCCTGAAAGACAACAACTTCCAACCTAGATAGATATATCCTGCAAAACTATCTTTCAAAATTGATGGGAAAATAAGATACTTCAAAAAACAAAGAACACCTGAGAAGCTTCATGAATAACAAACCAGCACTCAAAACAACTCTAAACAAGCTGTGTGTGGTGGTGCACACATGTAATCCAGCACTTGGGAGGCTGAGGCAGGAGGATTACTGTGAGTTCCAGACCAGCCTGGGCTACATAGTGAGTTCCAAGTCAGTATCAACTACATAGTGAGACCTTGTCTAAACGCCCCCCCCCAAAAAAAAAATTCTAAACAATATTCTAGAAAAACACAATGAGGGTTACAACTCCATGAAGCCCAACAGAGTGAAGCCAACGGGCAAGGAAAGAAATTAAATGAAAGGGGGGAAAATAAAAAATAGGAAGTGTTTTTGTTTGTTTGTTTGTTTTTCTGGTACCGGGAATTGAACTCCAGTCTTTGCAATTGCAAAGCAGGTGCCAGAACACCTGAGCTAAATCCCCAGTTCAGTCTTGTTTTGTTTTGGTACTGAGGATAAAACTCGGGTTATTGCGCTTCTGACGCAGGAGCGGAACCACTGAGCTAAATCCCTGGCCCGGGAAAATAAAAAATAAAAGGAACCAACAACAGGAAAATATCATGGCAAGGATAAGTCAATGCATATCAGTTATAACCATCAATGTTAATGGCCTCAACTCATCAATCAAAAGAAATAGACTGGCAGAATGATTTAAGAAGCAAGAACTGGCCAGGCATGGTGGCACACGCCTATAATCCCAGCACTCAGGAGGCTGAGGCAGGAGGATGGCTCTGAGTTCAAAACCAGCCTGGGCTACATAGTGAGTTCCAGGGCAGTCTGAACTACATAGTGAGACCCTGTCTCA